GGTGAGATGATGAGGATGAGGATGAGGAGGAAGATGAGCATGATGATGAGGATGAGCGTGAGCTTGATGATAAGGATGAAGATGAGCGTGATGAGGATGAGCGTGATGAGGATGAAGATGAGCCTGATGATGAGGATGAGCTTCATGATAAGGATGAAGATGAGCGTGATGAGGATGAGCGTGATGAGGATGAAGATGAGCCTGATGATGAGGAGGATGAGGGTGATGATGAGGATGAGGATGAAGATGAGCCTGATGAGGATGAAGATGAGCCTGATGATGAGGAGGATGAGGATGAGCTTGATGATGAGGATAAGGATGAAGATGAGCCTGATGAGGATGAAGATGAGCCTGATGATGAGGAGGATGAGGATGAAGATGAGGATGAAGACAATGAGGATTATGATGAGGAGGAAGAGGAGGAGGAGGAGGGGGGTGGTGGTGAGGAAGAGGAGGAGGGTGAGGAGGAGGAGGAGGGTGAGATAATGAGGAAGAGGATGAGGATGAAGATGAGCATGATGATGAGGATGAGCGTGATGAGGAGGATGAGGATGAAGATGAGCGTGATGAGGATGAGGATGAGTGTGATGATGATGAGGATGAAGATGAGTGTGATGAGGATGAGTGTGATGAGGATGAAGAGGAGGATGATGATGAGGATGGTGATGAGGATGAAGAGGAGGATGGTGATGAGGATGAAGAGCAGGAGGAGGATGATGAGGATGAAGAGGAGGAGGATGACGATGAGGATGGTGATGAGGATGAAGAGGAGGATGATGATGATGAGGATGGTGATGAGGATGGTGATGAGGATGAAGAGGAGGAGGATGATGATGAGGATGGTGATGAGGATGAAGAGGAGGATGATGATGATGAGGATGATGATGAGGATGAAGAGGAGGAGGATGACGATGAGGATGGTGATGAGGATGAAGAGGAGGATGATGATGATGAGGATGGTGATGAGGATGGTGATGAGGATGAAGAGGAGGAGGATGATGATGAGGATGGTGATGAGGATGAAGAGGAGGAGGATGACGATGAGGATGGTGAGGATGAGGATGATGACGGTGATGAGGATGAAGAGGAGGATGATGAGGATGGTGAAGGATGAAGAGGAGGAGGATGATGAGGATGGTGATGAGGATGGTGAGGATGGTGATGAGGATGAAGAGGAGGAGGATGACGATGAGGATGGTGAGGATGAGGATGATGACGGTGATGAGGATGAAGAGGAGGATGATGAGGATGGTGAAGG